GAAAAATAGATGTTCTAAACTTCCTTATAAATCCATAATGTTTTGAATATACTAAATCAGTTTTTTTGTGTGTTTTTTTTTTCTTTTTCTTTATTCTGGGGAAACAAAGATCCTTATCACCTTTTCAACAGAATCTGGTAATTTGTTTTAAAATTTAAGCCATTTAGAAAAGCTAATATTTTAATTATAATATGTTAAAGATTTCTACTTCTATTGGATATATTTTATTATTAAAAGTATTTTATGATGAATTCAAGTACTTTTCTAAAATACCCTAAAAATGAATGAAGTTAACCTAACAATTTTTATTAACCTTGGTTTCAGTTTTTATTTCAATACATTCAGTAATTTCGGACATGACTGCAAGATATAGGGTCAAACATATGCTATTTATTTTTTAAATAAAACAAAATTTCAAAAAATATATTGTATAATAAATTCTGATTATTTGCTTTTTCTCCATACGGCAAGTCAATGGTGAAGAATCATCTACTTAAAAGCAGCTGTTCTGATGCACACTTCTTTTACTAACTCACTCCAACAATAGGCACTAGACCTGTTGACCTCAGATTTCCCATTTATTCTTTTTGTCCCTTCAAAAGAGTAGTGACCTGGAATGGACAAACATTTGGACATCCACCTTCATCTTAGAGCTTAGCGCTGCTCCCACTTTCTGCCCCATGTTCATAGTTACCCATGTGTTGCTGCCTCCCAGACTCCAGATGAGTCTGGCTGCCAAAAGCAGGTCCTAGGTGGAAATCTTCCCGACTACCTCAGACATCCCTTTCTGCCTGAGAAATAGTAAAAGCAAATTCAGGCCTATTGCATCTCTTCCTTTGCCTTGTAAGCCAAAGAAAGGAAGCCAATGTAAGTGGAGCACTGTGAGCAGGAGGGAGATCTCAAGGAACTAACTATGTAGGAGGTGCAGGCAGGGACCCAAGTTTGAATTTCATTCTAGATGCAGTAGGAGGCAGACCAGTCTCTGGGTTGGCATTGCAGTCATTGCCGTGAAGTACGGTGATGATTCAGTCTAGTTTGATGGCACGGAGGATGATGAGAAGAAAAGAGATTTGAGATGCTGTATCCAAAATGGGAAGGTTAAAGGAAGACCAAGGTTGCTGGTCAGAGAACAGCTGAAGCCACCACTCACTGGCAACTTCTAGAAATGCTCCGTTTGAGACAAGTTGTTGATTAAATAAATGAGTTCATAAATAAGAACAGGGGTGAAAATAGATCAGCTCTAATTGGTTTATTAAGAGTCCAGAGAGTAGCATCCTTTACTGCTAGTATATAAATATATCATCACTTTATATTGAGACAACAAGAGGACACTTTCTTGTATAGTTCTTAGCAAACAATATGCATGTAACAAACCAGAATTTTAAATGGGATAGAAAAAAAAAGTAAACTGAATTTCTCCTATATGTTACTGCTTCTTAGTGTACACTATATAGTACTCTGTGGATTAATGCCTGTGAACAAAGTGGTCTTTCTGGGTCCCATGCTACATGGAAAAATAAGTCTACAAGTAAGCCTATAATTGCTTATATTTTAAGCAAAATATTGGTGTTTAAAAAGAATTCCAATTTGGTAACTGTTAAGCACTAATTTTTTTATAAGTTGACTTTGCAGATAGGCTATTTATGTTTATTATTGGTGCATCCCATCTCCTTCTAACCTCTTCTATTAGGGCCACAGCAAAATAAAAAGAGGCCAGAACAACACATAAACAATAGATGTGGAGCCCCAGAGACTTCATTCCCCTTTCTTCCCCTCACATCTAAAGTTAAAACAAAATTTATATTGTTTGAAAGGATAAGAACAAATATGTTTTTCCTCCATGGTTCAAAGACCTTTAAGTATCACTCCCTTCTAGAAACAGAATATGCCTATTGAAGTGGAATTTTTATAGTTTTGTGACCCCCCCACACACACACACTTAACTTTTATTCATTTTTTAATGAGAAAGCATCTTGACCATAAAGAGAACAAACTTATATTTAACTTTAAAGTTTTGGCTTCTAAAACTTTGATCTTTCTTCCTTATGTTTTCTTTTCTTTCAAGAGATACTTATTAAGTATCTACTCCATGAAGGCACTTTTCTGGACATGAGGAAACATTAAGTGAACAAAAGGCAGATATCCTTGCCACTGTGGAGCTTGTATTCTTGTGAAGAGAAAAGTAACAAAAAAATAAGTAAAACAAGCATCATGTAAAATAATGATAAATGCAACAAAGGAAAATAAAGCCAGTAAGGGAGGTGAAGACAGTCAGCAGATGTGTTGTGGGTGGAGTGAAGGACTTCAATTTTAGCTAGGGTGGCCAGAGAACTTTTTACTTACAAGGAAAGTTTTTACAGAGACCTAAATGTCATGTTAAATATCCTTTCTGTAGGAATTGCTCCCAGGTCCCAATTCTGAAAGGGCAACCTGGGGTGAATGCAGTAGGAGGAGCATACATCCTCTGTAATAGAATACTTTCTGAATTATGTGTGCCATTGCTTTCTGCTAAAATGATAAGTTGTGGATAAGTTGAATAGACATACTGCTGGAATATTTATAATTTAAAAAAGACTCTGCCAAGGCTTCTACCAATAAGAAATAGTCATGAATTCATCCATGGTTCACATCACCTTCTGAATTTCTGAAAATTGCCGATGCTTATCTTGAGTCAGGACTTTCATTTCTGCCTTTATTAGTAGCAAGTTGGGATTGTGTTACCATCTTCAGTATGCCAAATATGACTGTTCCAAAGAGCCCTGTGCTTCTCTGAGAAAAATTGGAATGCAGGGTTTTCACCTGGTTTCCTCTCATTCTTCAGAATAAAGAATTTTCTCTTTCATTGTTTCATAATCATGGTCAGTTATTTATAGGAATGCAGTAGGGTGTTTAGCCATTTTTGTTTATTATTTTGGTGTATAGTTTAAAGTGCTAAATACATTTTATTTGGAGGCTCACATGATTTTAAATTTAATTAAAATCCCCTCTAGTAGCTAGACAAAAATACTGCTTTGTTTCACTTTTTGTTGTTGTTGTTTTCTTTACAAAGCTAAGAATACTAACTGCTTACATTTCATTAGCAGTAAGCTTTTGGTCTTCATGCCCATATTTATTTTCCTGGATCAACCTTTTCATGAAATAACTTTTTACTTTAGATTCTGTTTAATTTTTCTACATTTAATTCAAATACCCAGTACCATGAAAATTATCAAGATAAGGTTAATAACATAAGAAAATTTGGGGGAGAAAGAAATACATAGCCAGAATCACAATACAGCTAAAATCTATAAAGGGAACAATGAAGGAGGCATAAAACAGCAAATAGAAATACAAAGAGGAAATGTAGGATAACTAGTTACAATGTAATTTTAACAATAATAACAATCAATGATTCAAATGCTACAGTGTGCCAGTTCTCAGAAAGTCCTTTATAGTTGTTATACTAATCATATTAGTTTGCAGTTAACTCAGTGACTAGTATCTAGACAACGATGACAATAGAATGAAATAAATTACATGTTAATTAAAACATAAATAAATTTTAATTTTCTAATTTATGTTTTTCATACAGTATTCTCATATGTAAGTCAAATTTTGGGGACATAGTTAGGGAACAGAAAATGATTAGCAAATGAACTCAGAGCTACTAATTAAGTTTTAATTAATCCTTTATAAGTAAATATTCAAAGAATTTTAAGAAAACTTTAACATTTTAAAATTTTCCACATTTTTATTAGTGCATTATAGATGCACAAACTGGTGGGATTTATTATTACATGTTCATACTTGCACACAATACAACAATACAGTTTGGACAACATCATTCCCCAGTGTTTCCCATTCCCTCCCCTTCTTCTTCCTGGGTCCCATTTCTCTACTCTTCTGATCTCCTTTCAATTTTTATGAGATACCCCTCTACAACCTTTTGGAAAATGTTAATTTTTACTTATTACTGGAAAGCCAAGAATCCTTAGTGTCATATATTTTTGTGTGTATGAGTATTCAAATAAGTGAAACTTCTTAGAAAATCCAATCAGTCTAACCCATTCTTAGCTAACAGCATAGGAAAGCCCTCTAATAAATCATTTATTAATTTCTAAGTTCGGGGAAGAAAACAAGAGAGATGCAAAAAATAATTGAAGAATTTTTATGATACATACTTGTGTGTATAACAAAAATACTTAACTAAAAATGTCACCAGATGAATCATTTTTGGAAAATTTCTTTTTCTCTCCATTAGTATTTGTTTTGAAGCATATTCACTGTACATAGGCTATTTAATAACTCCACAATTTTATAGACACCAACAATGAACCAAGTCATGTGTTATTCACTAGAGATAAGAATAGATACAGTGTCCTGGGTTATGTATACAATTATTATGAGATCAGATAGCAGAAGCACTTAACCCTTATTGTAATCTGATACGATGCCTTTTGTGGGGGAGCGGGGGGGATAAATTTAGCCATTTATGGTAATCATATATTTTATCACCCAAACCATGACTCATGGTAAAAGAGTGCCCTACATATATTTTCACAGGACATTATGTGTGACATGAGCATACCAGGACACGGTGCCCAGGTTCATTTCCACCATCTCAGATATGAAGATGTGGCATTTCTCTAAAAATGTCAGGAGGTATACCTGGCCATAACCCTACCCTCATATTCAGGAAGCTGACTCACATCCCCAGATGGCAGGGACCTGTACGTGCTCTGATTTTTCCATCTAGAAAGCCTTGGAGATATGTAAAATGAGATCAAGTACTTTGACATTATGCTTTGTATAACATTGGGTGGTTTAGAGATTGGGAAATTAAGGACAAACCCTTTTGTGATCACCATGGTCGAGTTGTTTAGCTCTTTCACTGACTGTTTTGACTTAAGACAGTGACAATAAGTTGAACTTAGCTTTAAAACCATCCACCCAACCACTGCACAGTGACACGCGGGGGAGGCCTGCACTTTGAGCAATGATGGCCTTTGCTTGGGTTGCAGGACCAGTGGTTTTGGCGAGTGAGAAACAACAGAGTGATGGATGGATACCCCATGCAAATTACCTACTTCTGGCGGGGCCTGCCTCCTAGCATCGATGCAGTTTATGAAAACAGTGATGGGAATTTTGTCTTCTTCAAAGGTAAGGATGTTTTTTACCATGTTTGCCAATGCTGTGTTTGGGTCATGTTGTCCAGGGACCTGTAGCAGAGACAGAGGTGAATAAGTAAAACCTATTATGGGGGATTAATTAGCAAATGGATTTTATGAAATAAATTGCATGTTAATTAAACATAGATAAAATAAATTTTGATTTTCTAATTTATGTTTTTTATTCGGTATTCTCATATGTAAGTCAAATTTTTGGAGATATTCTATTCTCTGGGAACCTAAAGTTTTGACCTGAAGCACCAAAAAAAAATAATAATAATAATTAAAGCCAGGCATGATAGCTATATGTGCCTGTTGTCCCAGCTAGTTGAGATGCCAAGACAGGAGCAGCAGTTTAGCCCAGGAGTTTGAGACCTGCCTTTGCAACATAGTGAGAACTTCATCTTAAAAAAATAAGTAAATAACCATTTATTTTTTTTTATTTATTGGCTTATTCATTCCTAGGGTATTTAGAGTTATTGCTGGTTTATGCCATGAAATCTATTGTCCATCTTATTTTCAGATAGTCTTTGAAACTCTACCAGATTTAGTCAGTTTACATAAATAATTTACAGTAAACTAAAAAATAATCATAATCATAATCATAAAGGCAAGGAAATCATATGTGTAGAAAACTTTGCCCACTTATCAGTATCATGAAATTTATTGCCTGTTATTTATCTGAGTAAGGAATTTTAGTTTCACAAGTCCTATTAACTGCCTGACATTAAAAAGTAACAGCTGAGAAGTGAACTTTATGGATTACTTGCTCTTCCCTCTTCAAACTTGCTAATATTCAAAACAACCAACCTTAAACCTAGGAGAAAGCAAGAGATGGATTGAGTTGAATTGTTAGGAGAACACACCTGAGCTGAAGGTAAGGAGAACTACAGTGCAGAAAGAATATGATCAAACATGTTATCCAACAATCTAAAGGGCCAAAAAATCAGCTCAAACATGGATACATTCTGAGGGGAAAGAAAGAGAATCTTAACCAAAAAGTTCATTATTCTCAGGATCCAACTAGAGGAAGTTATGATAATGACGAGAGTAATGGAAACAAGAGTTTTGAGTAACAAAATTTTTAACTGAGATTCAAAGTGAAATGAAGTGAAAGCATATCTTAGAATTTACTTTCTCTTCCCAGATTATTCCTTGAAAACAGAAGCAGTATAGTGCATTATATATAAAATCATGTGTGTTCTGAGGTCGTATCACCAATTTTGAACCAGGCAGTTTGCTCAATTCTCTTTATTTCAGTTTCCCCATCTGAAAAATGGGGCTTGTATTATTCCCCATCTCAGAATGATTTTGAGGTCTAAATTATTACTACATTGAAAGTACTTGGCACAGTATGTTCTTAATAAATGCCAGCTGCTGCTGCTACTGGCAAGATTACTAATGATGCTGTTGCTACCTTTCTGCTATTCTATAATAAAAGTGTAACTCAATTGGACTTGTATTCTGCCACTGCAGGTGAAGCAAGGCTACCACCTAAAAGTTGTCAATCTTAGTAACTGGAGGGAAGTTTTCTCCCCTATACCCTTCTTTGGTCGCAGGAGTACTAGCAACAGAAAGAAGGAGAGGCTAACCCCAGGGTAGCCTCCAGTTTGAGGGTGGTCCAAAGGCCCAGTCTCACCACAGAATCAATAGTGCTTTCTAGCCAGGCACAGAAGTTCACCCCTGTAATCCAGCAGCTCAGGAAGCTGAGGCAGGAGGATTGCAAGTTCAAAGCCAGCCTCAGCAAAAGTAAGGTGCTAAGCAACTCATTTCAACCCTGTCTCCAAATAACATACAAAACAGGGCTGAGGATTTGGCTCAGTGATTAACTGCCCCTGAATTCAATCCTCAGTACCAAAAAAAAAAAAAAAAGAAAAGTATTCTCTAACACTACCACCTGAGGACTAACTGCCACCATTATAAATCAGGCTGAGACAGCTTTTTGCTTTTCTTTTTTTTATTATTCAGTTTGCCTTTCCTGCTCACTAGTGAAATAGCTGGCTCCTTTTCATCTTTCAATAACTAGTATCAAAGCCAAATCCTGGATGCCCTTCACACACCCTATTTAAGTCATTCCTTCCCACTGACATGCAGCACTTGTAACTGAAATTAAAAATTACCTATGGCATTCTAATGAAAATGTCATCAGGGATAGATCTTGTTTATATTTTTTTGACACCACTGTATGTTTAGTTCCCAAAACATTGCTGGGTGCAGAGTAGGTGCTCAACAGACATTTTAATAAAAGCAATATCATTCAATACCAATTTGATGTGGTAAGATATTACGTTGTGGTGCTAACAACAGCAACAATTTGTCTCCAGCCACAAAATATTTTAATTTCTAGACTGTTATACTTGTCAGCTTTTGATACATTCTGAATACTAGGAAATATCTCCTCTAAGAAATTTTGTCACTCCAAGGACCCTGCCCTGATGCTGTTCCTCCAGTTTACTCTCCTGGCCACTTCAGTTGACTTTTCAGAGCCCAGCTAGACATGGATGAGCTCTCCTCCTCCAAATGCCATTGCTATCCAAAGGGAGCCAGAAGTCCTGGGGGTGCCCAGTGTCTACCACACACTGGCAGGAGGGAAGTGGGAGCCTGGAACCCTGGGCTTAAATCACTTACTTTCTCTATCTTCATCAGAGCAATTACAATCAAAGTGACAGTCCCTGTTTTGCACTGTCTCCTTATATCCTTTATCACCTCAAAAAAAAAAAAATGCAGAGACCCACCTCACTCCTCATCCCAAGTCTGCCATCACCATTTACCATATAGGCCATGAGGCCATCTGCACACCTCTCTGGCTGTCTCACCCTCCTTCTTCCCCCCTGCTTCAATTTTCTACATAGCATCTGACAAAAGATACTCACATATTCTTTCTCAGCATCCTTTTCAATAGAATGTTGCCGCAGCCCGGCTGGCTGGGCAAACTAACGGGGGGCTGGGGGGATGATGAGCAATTTGTGTAGATTGATACAGCAGGAGTAGGAGCCATTTATTGTAGGACAGGAGGGGTATATATACATTCCACACAGCTTATCTTAATTAACATAAACTAGATACAGCAGTCAATCAATAAGGAATCTCCACACTTAATGGCTTGCTGGCATGACTTCATAAACCACTCCCACTGGCAAAGTGCCAGGCGCCATCCCGACTTGTTTACAGACCCTAACAGAATGTCAGACCCCCAAGGGAATGGTTTTCTTCCCTGTCCCTGCCCGGCTCTCCCTTTGGTCCTGTCTTATCCCCAATATCTTTCACCAGGATTTGAAAACCTTGTTCTGTAATCACCAAATAATAAATATTTTAGATTTTGTCATTACTATAGTCTCTATTATATATCCTCCTTTGTTTTTTATTCGTGTGCCTGTTTTGTTAATCTTTTAAAAATGGGAAAATTATTCTTAAGCCACAGATCATAGTTTGTCATAAGCCTCTATCTTAAATGATAACTGCAATAGTAAGCACTCAACAAAAATTTATAGAATAATAAAATGCAAGCCCTATACTGTGACCCCAGAGCTAAACATGTTGGTCTCAGGCTACACTAGTTGGATTGGGCTCTTTTCACTCATAGGTTCATGCATTACTTCTTTAATTTTCTCTTTTCTTGTACCTTTCTTGTCTTTATTTTTCTTTCCTTTCTTTTTTTTTGGTCTTTGACTTTTCTTCTCTGAACATAGGACTTTTATTTTTTTGTCTTCTAATTAATACTACACAATAATGCTCATATTTAATCTGCATAATCTCATATTTTCCCCTTTAACCAAAGTCCATGTTCATATATAAAACATTAGCCACATATTCCCTAAAAATATTTGGTGTTAACCTTGCTTTTATCTTATATAAGAATTTGAAGATATAGATTCAACTATTTAGTTATAAATTATAAATGCCATCTTAGTAATATAAAAATAACCACAACCTTAATATTCATATAAACTCATAAATATCTTTGAAAGAATGGGACAATACTAGTCATAATTCAAACTACATATTTTGGCATAATTTACATATTTTCTTGAACTGTGGACAGAATTGTATTTGTACATTTATATGCAGTGAGAGTTGTGAGAACATAAATTATAAAAACTAAAAATGTAAACAATTTATTCTCTATATGCATATGATTCTATATTTTTATCATAATCTCATTACCTTTTGGTATGACTACATATAGTATATCAAAACATTAAGGGTGGCTTCAGCTTTCAGTCAAACTGTAATAACAGGTATCAGACATATCATTGTACCTTAAACACACAAAAAGTGGGCAAAGTATATGAAAGGATTATTTTCAGGACACTGAGTACCAAGGAACAAAGGACAGTGAATCTCCAGAGTCAGATGACATCTGAAATTGCTCTGGGCAATTGCTCTGCCCAGATGCCTATGAAGAATTGTCCCCCAGAGAATTTTCTAGGTTGTAGCATGAGGTGGGGAAATTCAGAAAAAAACTCAGAAGACTCTCCAATTGTGGACAGGAGTTGAGAATCAGGATGAACAAGTGGCTACACTGTTCAGGATAAAGTCACGCAGAGAGAGCTGCACACAGAGGCCTAGGGATTGGTAGACAGTCTGCACATATATTGGAGAGAGCATTGCTTAGTGTGTGTTTAAGGAAACTCAAGTTTAGAGACTCATTTCATAGGAGCAGAAGGAGCAGTGTCTGGCACTCAGAGAGGGTTTATGATACCAACTGTTACCTGCCACCTGTCATGGGCAGTGGATGCAGTACTGAGACAGGCCTAACCTTAGTAGTCAGGAATAATTATCCTAAACTGAGTATTCCCCTGGTCCTGCCTAACAAATATTTAAGGTAACACCTGAAGTCATAAAATCAATATCAAGCAACAGGTCTATTTTAAAGTTTAAGAATATTTATAAAGATGTAAAACTACTAACCCCAAAATGTAAAATATAAAACATCTGCCATTCCCCATAAGCTCAGGAGCAAGATAAGGATTTCTGCATGTATCAAGTCTA